TATTTTAGACCCTATATTTTGCTGATCATATGTTATTTTTGTTGATGTTATACTTTTACATCATTTTCCTAGATGTATGGCTAAGAAATGCCTTCGATTTAATCAGAATGATATTAAAGTAGTTGATGTTGAAAGTGATGAGACATTCAAATGGGAAATTCACACGGCCAAACAGGATAATAGACTGTGTTAGTTCCTGATTGGCATGCATTTTAGTAAAACTTGGTAATATCACAAGATGTCCTATAGGATGTCTTGACATATGGTGTTAATATTCTGCAGGTAGCTATATTTGTTGTTGCAGGATTTAGTTAATGATGTCAAGCATGATGTCCTGACATTTGTGAACAAAACATTCTGTGTGAATGTGTTTGTTTGTCTGGTACTTTTTGTGCAACTCTTTATACTGCTATGATATGTCTTTTATGGTTTAAATATGCGTGGATTTAGCTCTTATTCAAAAGCATTTTTGAGGCATTTTTCATGGAGCATTTATGGAGTCGTGTGAGCTATTTTTTGAAGGATATCTTGAAGATTTGCAGAGTGATTTGATTAAAGCTAATTGGATCAAATCAAATATGTTTTGGTTTTTCTCATTGATGCTAATTATTGAGATTGATTTCTTCACGATCAGATGATATTTTTTCCAAAGTCCAAGCTCGTCCTAGGGTTTCTATTTAAAGGATTCACAAACCTATTTTGTTGTTCAGAGAAGCTAGGTTTAAAATAGTGCATTACACAAGGTTTAGTGTGTTCTAGCATTCGTGTGTTTTGCGTTAGTTTGTGAGCCATTCACTCATTACTTTAATGTGTGAATTAGACTAAGGTTTGTATTGTAAGGTATTCACTCAAAGATTGTAAGCAAGAGTGTATTGTACTTGATTGAAGCTTTTAAGCAAGATCAAGTTGTGTCTTTAGAGAGTGTCTTCTAAAGTTTTATTATTTTGTTGTTATCACTGCTGTGATTGAGGGGGAGTGAGAGGTGTCTCTCATCTAGGAATGTCCTAGGTAGAAATTGCAAGGGTAGATATTAGGTGAGAAGATGGTAAACTAGAGAGAGTCTACTGTGTATCTTCAAACTAATTCTACTTACTGGATTTCCTTCCTGACTTGGTAGCCTCCAGACGTAGGTGTGTTTTCACCGAACTGGGTTAACAATTGCTTGTGTCATTTTACTATTGTTATATTTTTGTCCTTGTTCTTATTGGTGATTGTACAGATATTAGTGTCGTAACATCGCCTTCGACGTCTGATATTTGATACCAGAATTTCAGGCCAAATCGTTATGAGATTTTTTTTTGCTCAAGAATGGTATGGTTATGAGAGAAAGAAAAAAATTTGTGTTGGGGATATATTGGTTTTAAAGATGATGCGTTTTCCCCCATACCTCTATCTAACAATAAAAAGATGTTGATGTCTTTGGGGTTTTTTGTATCAACTTTGTTTTTGCTTATCAGTGTACCGATGTATGAAACATGTAGCTGCCTAACATCACTTTTTAGTTTGTGGAAAGTTAAAAATTGTATAACTTTATCATCTCTGCTGGATTAAGTGATTATATATATATATATATATATATATATATATATATATATATATATATATATATATATATATATATATATATATATATATATATATATATATATATATATATATATATATATATATATATATATATATATATATATATATATATATATATATATATATATATATATATATATATATATATATATATATATATATATATATATATATATATATGAATGAATGATCATATTGCACATTCTTTTTTATTGCAATTATGCAGTAAACAAAAAAGTGTATTAATCTTAGTATTTAATGCTATTAAAAAATTGCCTTTGCAATTTAATTTGATGGTATAAAGTTTTAATGTCTTTGTGATAATCCAAATTATTTTGGTAGGATGTTGTATGTGGTGTCTTGATTTTGCAGGATTGGAGTTGCAACTCTCCACCAGCGGCAAGTGCCTTAGATGTTGATTTTATGGAAGTTATGTTCTGGCTGGTGGAGAATCGTGCACCACTCGTTGTAGTGTTTGAGGTACTGGCAGCCCTTGGAGGTTGAAAATCTCCTTTTATTCAGGGAGTGTCTCAAATTGGTATTCTTTGCCAAATCGTCTGCTGTGAGGGTGCTCTGTGGGAAGCTAACCGTGTTTTGCAGAATCAGTGTGTGCCAATGATCATGGCTTGTTTGGTTGTTACTTCGCAGTCTGATTGTAGAGCATTAGCCTGATGCTTTAGCGGTTACATTGCAACATTAGTGCTTTGTATCGTAGGCGTATTTGGATGAATTCTAAAAGTAGTTATTTGGTCAATTATGCAGAGCCAAACCCGTAGTATTTCAGAATTATTTTGGTTTTCAGTTTAGTTCTGGCAGTAGTGTTTGCTTCAGGTGTTTAATGTTATGTAATGATTTGTAATTTAAGCTCGCTGTTGTTTGCCAGACTTGGCTTGGTGGGTGCTTACATAGTCTTTTGGCAGCTGTGTTGGGTTTTTCCCTTTTTGAACCTTATTAGTCTTTGTTGAACATTGTACTAGTTCTACTCTTCTTGTGCATATATAATGCCAGGTTGAGCTGTTTAATGAAATGTATTATCCATTTCAATAAAAAAATGTTTATGACAAATTCTTCATGTTTAACATTTTTGTAGCTTCTGAACGTTTCCCAAATAAGTTCTTATTACTGAGCAAGTTTTGCAACATGATTCTCTCAAACATAGATATAAATCTTAAATTGCTTATGGCATGGAATGTGTCAAAACAGTATTCAAATGTATCATATGAAAAATACTGAAGACGAAACTATATAATTGTGTTGGAACCTAAAGTCAATTAAACTAATACTTAACATAAGAAATGCAATTCTTATGCATTTCTTCTGACATCCGTCAACACCAAATTTGCAGCTTAAGGACTATAATCTGCATATTATCCAGTGGTTCCTGCAACAATGTTCCAACAATTAATTATGATTTTCCTTTTATCCTTGCATTCTGCTATAGAACATCAATGTTTTCTTCTTCATTGTGATTCTTGTAATAGTCATAAAATTGCATAACAAACTGACCCCATAGGGTACATTGAACGAAAGTTTTGTTGTCAATAGAATGAAAAACACATTTGTTTGTAATCAGACACCAACAAATAAAAATACAAACGTGTAAACTCAAACCAATAAAAAAAAGTTGCTTGTACACATATAAAATCAGGTTTGTTCATACCTCATATCAGTTATCATAAACACAACCCTTCTTTTGTTGTTATCTGCGTTAACTTGAGTCTGTATAATTTCAGCAACTCCTCCAACAACATCTAAACAAAATAAAGTCACAAAGTATAACATACAGATAAGAAAAAATTATAATAGTTAAATATACTTATGAACGTACCAACTAACACATTAGATTGAAACTTTTCCTCAGCTATGCATGCTAAACTAAGAATGTTGAAATAATTTATAGGGATGTCTGGTAGCTCTGCTCTCTTAACAGAAGTTGAACCACAAAAGACCAACTTAAAACCATGAATAGTTTATTTAAAAGAGAAATTGTTTTTTGAAACCTTGAAATTCTGCATGATCTATGAATTTTTCACAACAAGTTCAACCAAGTACTTCGAGAAGAAATGTGATGGTACAATGACTTGAATCATATCAAGCTAAAAAACCAAATATAAAACTTTGAAAAGTTATTTCAGCTTCATCAAATCAACATACAATAAAAAAAAACAAACCACAAAGTTATACCTTTGAATCACCCAAAATTAGTTTCAAGTGTTCTTTGTTTGACGAACTTGTCACAATCCACGTATGTCAACAACGAACAACAATCTTCCACAAATCTTTTGAGTCATTAATGTCTATAACAACCTCAATCGGTCGCGTCATTGTTTGTTTGAAAGCTGAAAAAAAACCCCAGCCAATGCAAACAGAAGTTAAATATAACAATTATAAATACAAATATGATAAGATGTAAAGACATTGATGACAACGGTGATGAATTAGCATCTCAAAACCTGTGGTGGCGGCAATGGGGAATGAGTGGCGGTGGTGAATGATGTAGAATGATGGAAGGCAAAATAAGTTTGGGAGAGTGTATATGTTGATATTGGAGAGCCATCACTTAATACCAACGCATAGGTAATTTATAATTTCAACTTTCAAAGTGACTCTTCAATACCCAATGTAGGCAGTGGAAGGTAAATATACAATGTCTTTACATCTGTTTTTTTTTCTTCCAAATTACTGATTTTTAGCGTGAAAAATTCTAAAAAATGACACATCAGTTGCATTAATTATCAAATCTCTAATATTACAACAACAATGTAATTAGTCGTTAATATCCTTTTTTGTTAAGTGTAATTTTGAATTTAATCAGAAAAATAAACATAAAAATTAATTAAATTTTTTTTTAATAGTTAGATATTAGATCGTACATTTAAATATAGAAAATAAATAATCTAAAAAATTAGACATGACCCGTGTAAACGCCCGCTTCCTTTACTAGTTTTCTTAGAGCATCTTTAGTGGAAGTAAACTAAATAGGTAAATTAAGATACTTTTTGTGGGTCTAAAGTGATTTGTAGGATTTAAAAAATTTAAAGTTGATTTGAGTAGTTTTTACTTTAATGGTGGTTGTCTATAAGAAACCAAAACTTGACCCCACATGGTATTAAATAGTTAATAAAAATCTATTATTTATATTAAATAATTAATAAAAATCTATTATTTATGTTAAATAATGAGTTAGAGTACGTTGCTTGTGTAGAGCACGTAAACTAGTTTTAGAGCATCCCATATGCCATGTCAGCACTACTATAATGCAAATTCTTTATTACTAACGTAAGCTATAAAGAATTTTGGTTTAACAACCCTGCACTAAAGTTGCTCTTAGTTAATTAGTTACCTGTCTCTAGAACTTCCCCTTCCCGCCTCAACCAGAGTAAAAACCCATCAAACTCAGAGAGGAAGAAGAAATGTGCGGAAGAACTCGCTGCAGTCTAAGAGCCGATGACTTTCCGAGGGCCTGCCACCGTACCACCGCCCCTACTCGCGTTCTCCACATCGACCGGTAACTAATTTCTCGTCTCTTCACTTCGAACTTGATTTGACGCCTTTCATCAATTTTTCAAGTTGCAACTGCATATTATAGAACTTGATTACGTTTAATTTATTCATATTTTCAAATTATTAAAGTGTTGGTGTCGTGGTTCTGGTATCTGATTCATAGGTTTCTATTGTGGCTAGGTATGTGCCGTCACATAATGTGTCGCCGGGATTCAGCATGCCTGTTGTTCGGAGAGATGAAGCAGCGGAGAGTGAAGGCCATGTTGTTCATTGTATGAAATGGGGTTTAATCCCCAGTTTCACTAAGAAAACAGACAAACCTGATCACTACAAGATGGTAAATTTGTGTTCATTTTAGAGTTGTTAACAAAAAGATGAGGAGTGAATGATGAGTAATTGTGATAGAGAGAAGATAGAAGGATAGTTAGGGAGAATACATTTTCAGAAACAATGATAATAGTGTTTGTTTTGATTTATTAATATTTTTTAAAATTTTGATTTGATTGAAAAAAGTTGTACAAGAAAATGGTAAGGGAAGTATAGGATCTATACTCTATGATATGCATTAACTGATTTCATATTGTTTATCACAGTTTGTACACAACAATGCCGCTACTATAAAATATAATCTTTTCTAGTGGAATACTTAGTCTGATATGATTCGTGTTATGTTCTGCAGTTTAATGCTCGATCTGAATCCATTGATGAGAAAGCTTCATTCCGTCGCCTGCTTCCTAAAAACAGATGCCTTGTTGCAGTAGAAGGGTGTGTATTGAATTATTGTTTTCCGTATTTTCACTCTTCTTTCATTTGTTCTTTTTTTTTCCTTCATATTTTCACCCTTCTCCCACCTTATGAATTTTATGACAGTAGTTTTGTCATAATTCTTCTTTTCAATCATATGGTGTAACATATTTCTTTTTTATTTCTGTCAATTCTTCTTTTCAATAGTAGTATAGTTGAACATATTCCTTTTAACTTGAGAGTTTTTTTTCTTTTATATATGTTTTAGTTTCCTAATGTTTTTGCCTATTATGTCTATTATCGTCTTATTAGTGGCTTTAAGTTCAGTTCTTTGAATTAATTACTTTAAGTATATGTTTAAGTTTTTATGAGTGGAAAAAGGATGGTTCAAAGAAACAACCTTACTATATTCACTTCAAAGATGGACGACCTCTTGTTTTTGCTGCTCTTTATGACTCATGGCAAAATTCTGAAGGTGAGAATTTCTACAGAAAGTTGGAAAATTGATATTGTTCAGCATGAAAAATCATGTTAATCTATCTTCATACAATTGTTAATTTAAATATAAGTATACTTAACTGCAGGTGAAATACTTTACACATTTACTATTGTTACAACCTCTTCCTCTTCAGCTTTTCAGTGGCTTCATGGTGAGTCATGCATTCAATAGTATTGACTCTGAAAAGAATATTAAAGTTGACGTGTTTGTTAAGTGACAGTTTTTTTGTAACTTCTGTCAAAATAGTAGGGTAAATGCAGGTTTAGGTTTGACAAAAGTAGGGATTATGAAAGGTGTTAAGAACCAAAAATTACAGAAACAATAACTTGCAACAGAAGGACAAAATAGTGAAAAAGAGAATGTATTTACGAATGAAATTGTGAAAGGAATTACAGAAAAGGGTCACACCCAATACTGACACAGAGCTAAGCTCTTTATAGGATGGCTAAAGCCTTTGTAGGGTTGAGTTAGGCCCAACCACACTTCTCAACATGGTATCAGAGCCTGGTTTAAGATCCGGTGGGCCACCTTCTATGGTTTCCGCTATCGGGCCACCCACCATTTATTTCCACGCTTCAATTGTCCAGTCCTGAGCGTGAGGGGGTGTGTTAAGAGTCCCACATCGGACAATATATGGCATGAACATGTGTTTATAAGTGGGGGTAATCTTCACTCTACCAACCGGTTTTGTAGGGTTGAGTTAGGCCCAACCACACTTCTCAACATTCCTATCCATACTAAACCCTCTGATGCTCAATGCCCCTTTTCCTACTGTTACTTCCTCCCTATATATTCAAGAATGTTATTGCAATCTCTAACCAACTTGTAGCCACGTCAGCAAAGACAGTTCAAGCCTTCTTTGCTACCACACCCCTCTTTTTCCTTGAGTAAACGATCCACTCTCTTGGTCCATTATTTCCGTGATGGGCCAACGGTTCATTGAGCCCAACAGCTTCATTGTCATTCTTAACAAAAGGAAGAATATATTTCCAGACAATATAAATATTTTTCTTCCTGGATATTTACTGTGAAATATAGCTAAATAACAACCTATGTAGAAAGTGGAGTCAAATTTTCTTCTTCTTTGGTTTAATGAGTTTTGATTTACATGCACATGATTCTTGTGATCTGTTAGATTATAATCCTATCAAGAATATATTTCCAGACAATATAAATATTTTTCTTCCTGGATATTTACTGTGAAATATAGCTAAATAACAACCTATGTAGAAAGTGGAGTCAAATTTTTTTCTTCTCTGGTTTAATGAGTTTTGATTTACATGCACATGATTCTCGTGATCTGTTAGATTATAATCCTATCAAGGGGAATTGTGTACCCGTCTTTGGATTTTACCAATTGAGGGTGACTGCCCAAATATACACGATATTTGAATATAGGTAAAGATACCTAATATGTACTTCAAATGCTTGTCTTTAGACAGGATGCCTGTTATTTTGGGAGACAAGAATTCAAGTGATACCTGGCTAAGCAGCGCTTCCAGTTATAAGAGTGTGATGAAGCCATATGAAGAATCTGATTTGGTATGAGCGTTGATGCTGAAAAAATTACGACTAAATTTCTATTTTCTACATTAGTGTTGAACTTGTTTTATGATATGTTCTGATATTTTAGGCTTTACTAGTTTAGTGTGACTCTGTATTCATGGTTTTTGCCAATATTTTAATCTCCAGGCGTGGTACCCTGTAACACCTGCCATGGGCAAGCCATCATTTAATGGGCCTGAGTGTATAAAGGAGGTAATGAACTTTCCCTCAATGTTGCTTCGCATCGTCTAGCCTTTTCTTAGTTTATTGAGTCCAACCTATTACTCTGATGAAGATATCACATTTCTTATCTGAACCTGCAATGCCATCTGCTTATATCTTTGTTCATGTTTGTCCCTTGACTTAATAAATAGTAGATTTTAAAATTGGAAAATGAATGGAAACAATTTATTTGCTGCACTCAAAAGTTCTTGTTGAAGATTATGCTTTTTTGGCTTCTGTGCGTGTGTGCATTTAAATTAAATGTTCTTACTGAGTTGATCGAATCTATATTTGTTGTTACTCAATATGTGTACATAATTTTGAAAGATTGTTGTTGGACTTTATCCTTAACATTGAAAATCTTTACATTGCAACATGCCATGTTTGGCAGATTCAAGTTAAGACAGAAGGAAACACTCCAATATCTAAGTTCTTTTCAAGAAAGGTGACTGAAGATGAAGACACAAAGCCAGAGCATAAAATACCAAGTCACGAACCTGTCAAGACTGAACAAACAAAAGACCTCATCGTAGAAACTAAAACAGAGGAGGATGAAAGTGATTTAAAATTCAGTGGTTCTCCCCCTTCTCAAAATGTAACCAAGTTCCCAATCAAGCGTGAATATGATTCTATTTCATCAGATTTGAAACCGTCTTTAGCAAATAATGATAAGCCGAGGGCAAACCCGACAAAGAAAAAGGAAAAGTCAAAGACAGCTGATGATAAACAACCAACCTTATTTTCCTACTTTGGAAAAAAGTAATATCTAACAAGGTTTTGAAGACGGTATTGAAGACAGCTGATGATAAATTTTGGAAAAAGGTATCTAACAAGTTTTTGATCTAGCGGGGACTTAAAGATCGCTAATTTGTAATGTTCTGTATTTATGTAAATTATGTAGAACCGTTTTTCTCGTAGCTGTTGCATCTAGATCAAGTCTTAGTTGAACACCATATCCATCCAGCAAACTACAACGTCTAGTCTTGCAAGGTCTCTCTGTAGCCAATGGTTTATTTTATTTTAGTTTATTTATTTTATTTTATTTTAGTTTATTTATTTTATGAATGTGCTGCAGATGATTGTTGTCTATTTGAAGTGTTGTGATGTCACTGCATACTCTTAATTTACTTTGAAAAATTAAAAATCTGAAGAGATTCAATGATTTTTTATACAAATATATTTTGTTCCCAGTATTTGTGAATAGTAAAATATGATGTAGGTGTTGAAATTTGGTGTCTATTTTTTAGTAAGACTAACCGAATAATCACCAAATCAATAATCACAATTCATAGTTTTTAGTCCTTTTCTTTTTACGGGGATCCCACTTTATAGTTATCCATGACCAATTACAACTTTATTTTCTTTATTTTCTTGGTCATTTTACATGATTGATTACAAATCAAAGTGTATCTTGGAGGATTCTTTCTCAAAGCAGATTAATAAAGCATGGATAGTTCTGATTACAACTTACACACCAGTATTTTGTGTTTTCACAATTTTGATATTCTATTTAACAAAGAGGGAATAGTTGGGGACGCAGAAGTGGTAGAGACCAACAATAAGCCTCAATCCAATGTCCCTTTGGTGCAATTTCCATGATGATCTTCTTCAACATCCTAAAAGGAACCATGACACCCCATTGTACAACTGAACGTGAACCAAGGCAGAAACCTCGACGCTTGTTCCCTAGCCAGATGCTGCTTCCTCTCCTCCGCCGGAGCCGCTTTCGTGGACGATACAATCCAACCAATAGGTTGGAATTTGAGAACATTGATACGGTGATAGAACCTCTCTTGAACATGTTTGCAACAAGTGTAGTTTTCTAAAATGTTGTGTGTAACATGACTTAGTACTAAACTCTTATATAGCATGTGGAAAAGGTATGTTACTCATCATCATAATGGTCATTATGGCAACAATTATTACAATCTTAATGCTTTAGGAATAATTCTAGTGTGCAAATAAATAATGCTTCAAAGAAGTTTCTTTATATTTCTTTATTAGTTTAGGGTTGTGGCTGTCATCATTAAGGGGAGTAGGCTTGATAGTTATGATCATATAATGAGCTTTAGGGTTGGAGTTAAAAGAATTACTTCTTTTGGGAGGCTCCTCTCTCAATTGCTCTTTGATCGTGAGAGTTGATATACTCTTTTTCTTTTTCCGAATATTAAAACAATTCTCTTTTTAATACTTCTCATTTATTTATTCGACAAAATTTATATGAATCTCATAAATTTAGATGAGATCAATTTTATCTAATAAAAAAAATGAGTGTTAAAGTTTTCTGTTAAACCAACTCAATTATAATTGTGTGCGAACATTCCATTGAAGAGATATAAATTTAAATCTGTGACATCTCACTTATTTATTTTTAAATAATAAAATTTTAACTATTAAACAAAAAAAAGAGTGTGTTAAAACGAGTGTTGAAAATAAAATGTTACCCTCCAAACTTCTCAAATTTTTTGGAATGTCAAAGACTTTTGATTCAGTCACAAAATCAATGAAAGTTTGCATATTTTGTTTTAATTACATTCATGCATGTTGTAAAAAAAGTATTACTCCTTCTATAATTAAATTCTCTTTTTAAATTCGTTTAATAAAATATTTGCTTATATCAATTATTTAATAAATGTGAAAATAAAATATTTGCTTATAATAGTGACCGTAAAGAGTATATTTCAAAGTTGTGATAATAGACATACTTAAATAAAGATAAATTAAATCTAATTAAATTACTTAATGAATTTCATACTAATAAAATAAAATTATAAATGTTATTATTTACGGTTTAATACTTACATAACTCCTCTTCAAGGTGGTGAATTGATAACAATGATTCTAAACTTGCAAGTGTGTCAGTTGAATTGTTCTGATGGTAAGCTTTTCGTTAATCTATTTGTCAACTGATGTCTAAAAAATATATAGGCAGTGGATATTAATCCACTATCCAACTTTTTTTTGATGAAATATCGATCTTAATGTGTTTTGTCCTGCCATGTTGAATTTGATTATATGCAATACTAATGGCCGATTTATCTTTTAGCACTTGTTCATTAATAATACTTCACAAATTTCTAATGCCATAACTCTGAATTATTCTTCAACGCTTGATCAAGCAATTATACTTTGTTTATAAATTCTCTAAGCAACAAGGTTTCCACACAATAATGTACAATAGCCGAAAAGATCTTCTATCAATCAATGAACCTTCGTAATCAACATTAGTGTAAACCTCTATAGTTAGACTTTCACCTCTTTTAAATAAGATCCCCCCTAGAGTGACCTTGAGATATTGTAGAACACAATCAACAATCTGCAAATGTCTCACTCTCAAATCACGCATGAATTGACTTACCACACTTATTGTATATGCCAAATCTAACATAGTGTGTGCCAAGTAAATCAATTTTACCACTAACCTCTGATATTGATCCTTAACAACTTCGGCTTTTCTTCCTCATAGCTCATCTTATGATTTTTCAATATGAACACTAGTAGGTTTGCATTCATGTTTTCATATTTCTTGTAAAAGGTCAAACACATATTTTATTTGAGAAATATAAATTCCTTTATTTAAATAGGCTACTTCAATTTTCAAGAAGTACTTAAAGAAATTCAAACTTTCCTGGTAATTTATTTTTAAGTAGTTATCTCTCAATTGAATCATCTCTTGTAACATTGATATCGACAACATAAACAAGAAGTACAATCCACTTTCGTTCTATTGTATGTTTAAAAGTAAAGTGTCATTTACCTGGCTTTGTTTATAGCCCAAACACAACATTTCCTTTGCAAATCTTTCAAACCCTATCTGAATGGATTGCTTTAGTCTATATAAGACCTTTTTCAATCTAAACACCTTGTTGGCTCCACCCATAGTACTAAAACTGGGTGAAATATACATATACACTTCCTTCTCTAAGTTTTCATACAAGATATCATTTTTAACATCAAATTGTTGTAATTCCCATCTTGAAAAGAAGTAAGAGATAGTAAAACTCAAACACGATTCATCTATATCACTGATGCAAATGTCTCATCATAATCAATGTCATATATCTCACTATATTCTTTTTTTCACAAGTCACGGTTGCGCGAAGTAGTAAATCATTATCGAACTACAAGGACCAATGAGTTGAATACCAAACTCCATTCTATCGGTGTATATCTAGAGAGATAAAAAATTGAGGTTTTGTAAAACAACTTATTTAAAAAGCACTTGTCAAAAAAATATCTTAAATGAAAATCACTTAAATTATAGTGAAACAAACAGGAATTACAGTCACGTTTCTTACTCTAACATATTCATATGATCCAATTCACTTTTGTTACGAGAGTTCTGACACAATTTATAGAAAATAGATAAATGTGGACAATACATGCTTTCGCCATCGTGTTGCCCTATCGATAACGAATAATTTGCCTGCTTTTGCACGACCGAATTAGTCGTCAAGGATTCATTACTTTTGCTCAGCTATAAAAATCTAAAATTTTCTCAACCTCGTCCAAACACTTTCGTTGTATTGGACTCGATTGCTTAAAAACTTACGCTCTGGTACCGCTACATCTCTTTTCAAATTTCGACCGTTACTTGAGAACTCTTTAGTTTCATACAAGGGTTGGATTGCATGGACTCAGGTATTAAAATAAATATGAACAAAAGACTCTCGTAATCGTTCATAAAAAATCATACAAATAGTCATGAGAGAAGTCCCATGTGTTGCTATTGCGAAAAAAAGAGGCCGACAATGACTAACAGAGTCGCCACCTATCGTTATTTATCCCAAAGAAGGGAAATGAAACAATCGGAAAAAATTGACAAAAACGGGGAAAAGACGAGGTCATCGCAACCAAGTCCTAGGTTCAGGAGTCGGTTACGCAAGGGGAAGGTATGAGCACCCCTCACGTCCGTCGTACTCGACGGGATCCACGCATATGTTGTCTAACTAAAAACGGTGTGTAAACTATCTACGCTAAAGGCTTATGGACAAAAGAGAAAGAAAAAGAACTGACTTGGCAGAGCATTGCCGCTCTGTGCCTACGTACTCCCTCGTGCGAAAAAAAGAGGCCGACAATGACTAACAGAGTCGCCACCTATCGTTATTTATCCCAAAGAAGGGAAATGAAACGATCGGAAAAAATTGACAAAAACGGGGAAAAGACGAGGTCATCGCAACCAAGTCCTAGGTTCAGGAGTCGGTTATGCAAGGGGAAGGTATGAGCACCCCTCACGTCCGTCGTACTCGACGGGATCCACACATATGTTGTCTAACTAAAAACGGTGTGTAAACTATCTACGCTAAAGGCTTATGGACAAAAGAGAAAGAAAAAGAACTGACTTGGCAGAGCATTGCCGCTCTGTGCCTACGTACTCCCTCGTGCAATGGGAAAGTCAGAGTCAACGTAGTTCGCCTAACTACGACTAAAGAAGGGGGAAGGTTGCTCGCCAAGACATCGCGTCTTGTGCCTACGTACTTTCATCTGGTACGAAAGATCAGAGCAAACGTAGTTCGGGCTTACAAGAACACAGGCTGTTCAAAAGTTTTACCCGAGTAGGGTTAACAGACAGTTCTAACAGTTGGTGTATGCAGCTCGACCATTAGAGACTTAGGCGTTACCGTTTGCGATAGGACTGAAAGTTAACGACACTCTTGTTTATGAAAAAGGTTTTCCTGATTAAGACCCCAAGGGGTGAAAAAGAGTTTGATTTGTTTTTTGTGTTTTTTAAGGAAGAAGTGTTTTGAACTTGGTTTGTAACTC